CCACGATGGCAGGGAATTTTGGGAATGCTCGGTACAGTTCATGCGCTTTCTTGTTGCGCCTCCGCAACTGTGCGCGCGTCGTGGCAGCTACCGCCAGCGGCCATCGCAGCCATCTGCCATCCCGCCCATCCGCCGGAACGTCGTACGTCGTTAGCAGCATACCGTATCTGTGGCAGCAAAAACGCATCTCGAAAGGTGATTTGAATACACTATTGGTTGTAACTTAACTTCACGTCTTGCAGTGTCACAGAATCCACTTATTTTGCACCGCGACTGTTGCAGGGTTCGATTAGGTTCGACAAAGCGTTGGCGCAGCAGACGACAGAGGTGGTTTGGTGCAAAGGAGAAGGATGAAAAGAGGGGCAGACCCTTTCCCTTTGCGCTTGTTGCTTGTATGATGATCTGACTCGGCTACTCGCCTCTGGGGTTCTCGAACGTTGTTGCTATGGTAACCTGAGCCTGCTTGCGTATGCCACGTGGTAGCGGGAGGAACGACGATGGGAGGGGCGTACCGAATATTCCCATTATTCGTCTCGTGGAGCTTGCAGGTTTTGGGGATTTTTGCAAAGGGTCTATTCTGCCCGCTTGAGTTCGGATCATCAGGTAGGCTGAATTGGGGGTCAACAGGTTCTCGCTGGGTCAGACATCTTGATCTTAAAATTTATAAATTATACCAATTCATATAAGGCACACCCAAAGGCTTACATGCACACACATGCCCCCTCCCCCCCCCCCCCCCCCCCCCTCCCAATCCAGCCCAAAATTATCTCCAAAAGCGGCACAAAATAAATGTTTTTATTTTTTATTTATACATATTGGTGGTTTACATTTGAGAGCTGTAGCAGGTGTGGGTGTTACGTAAACAGGAGAAAACAAAAACACCATCTGAAGTTGATTGTACAGAATGCAAAGAAAACAGCAGCATACACTTTGGGGGAAAAAGTACAAAGTTGACATTCCAAGACAAAGCACACATAGTTGGGTAAATATTATGATAAATGAAATCAGTGGCAGTTATAGCAAGACCAAAGTTTAGTAGGGGGGGGGACTCTAAATAGTGTTTCGTAAAGCATTTGAAAGAAATTCCGCTATCACATTCCGTGACCTCTAGCGGAAGGTTGTTCCAATTCTCTATTGAAATCAGAAAAAAGGTTTGAAACATCCTGTAAGACAAAAAAAAAAGGCATCAGTGACTTGCTCTGGGCGCCTCTAACTGCGTGGGTCAATCTTGGTTTTAGGTATTAAACTATGTCAATATTAAAAACATTATTTAACCCACGTGCTGCCGGGCCGTTTGAATTGCACGTTTTAACGCGTAAAACAGTGCCACACTAGGCATGACTGTCTTGCTTGTATAATAAGGTTTTACACTAAAAATTCAGTGCAGAAAACAAAAAAAAAACATGTTTATTTACATGCTTAAGTGGTTTGTTCAAGTCTTTAACTCAATAGGTCCTCACAGATTCTTCCTTTATGAAAAATCTCGAAGCACTCCATCCTTGGTCGCTTAGGCGTCGCACAACCAGTGCGATCTTGTCGTGACTCGGGACTCAGAACTGCTGTCAGAATCGCTCCCGTCGTCGACAGAAGGCTCCGAAAACTCACTATCCTCACCAGATGCCCCGTCATCATCGCTGTCGAAAAGGATATCTATGATTTCATTGTCAGAAAAGCCAACGCCATAGACTGGACGCTGCCATCTTCTCCAAGCAGACTGCGATCGAGCAAGAAAGAGGACACACAAAAAACCAAGCTCAAACAAACACAGTGAACAGAGCGACCCTCGCCGTCTGTTGACAACGTGTTTCACTACACCTCCCCAAGTCTACATTGCACGCCATCTATGAGTGGCTCGTTAAAACAGAAATTCATGCAGACCGGAGAATCGCCGGCATTGGCAATATGGCCCCTGACGGCACGCCCGGCGATTCGCCGGCTTTGGAATGGGTTAATAACGAAAACGCTAAAACTTCCGAATGTGGTAGCGCCGCTCCTTAAGCGTGTCCAACTTGGCTTGCGTGTAGAAGGGGTCACAGAATCTAGCAGCTATATTTATTATATACGAAATGAAGTGCTTTCCGTTGAACCATTTCCAGTTGGTTTACGTTTATGTGTTCGTGTAGGAGGGTCCCAAACAGCTGATGCATACTCAAGTACTGGACGAATCAATGTTTTGTATGCGATCAGTTTATTTGAACTGGTACAAGGCTTTAGGTTACGTTTTAAGAACCAGAGTCTGTTTGCCTTGGGCTTTGCATACAATTGTTTCTACATGAATATTCCATCATAGGTCGCTGAAAGAGTTACACCAAGGTATTTAAGGGAGGATGTGGGGAAGAAAAAATACTTTTTGGTTTTTAAAGGTACCGCATTTACTCGCATAATAATTGCACTCGCATAATAAATGCACACATCACAACGGGCATCAATATTTTGACTTCTTTTTTTTTTTTCTCCCGTAATCAACGCACCTCCAATTTTTGGATCCGCGAGTCTCGAATTGCGTCCAATTTAGCAAGCCACCAAGCCATTTTTTATTTGCTGCCAAGTGGCCTAGCCAAGTCAAGCCAGGCCAGGCCGCTCACGTCACACTCAGTGTCTCACGTTACAGCGTAGTAGCCATAGTAGCCAAAGTAGAGAGGAGTTCACATCAGAACGGAGCACAACTTGCCATGGAAGGGGCTGGCTCGATGTCGTCGCGTGCTGAAGTGGCGGGCTTGGCTCAAAGGAGTGTGGCGCTTGGCTGAGGGGTTCTGCAGATGAACATGGCGAGCTGCATTTGGAGAAGGTGATATAAGTCCTAGGAAAACACATAGATCATCCAGCACTCACAATGCGAGGCAGGTACACATGCACCTCTTTTTCTTCTTTAACCCCTTAATAGAGAGGAGATCAAAACGAAACACAACTTACCATGGGAAGGGCTGGCTCTTATATTTTTAAAAATTAGTATTACTGGTGTAATAACTTTGTTTTATAACGATTACTTTTACACAGCATTCTGCTACAAGAAATCAGAAACATAAGAAGTGTTTAGTTCGCATATGCGGTAAGGGGCGCTGCCTAACGCCCGATTACCAAAAGTCGCCTTGAGTGCGACCACTGTATGCTTATTCACTGTGTCGCCCCCCCCCCCCCCCCCCCCCCCCCCCCCTCCTCCTCCTCCCTCCAAATACGTGTCAATATTTCGGGGAAAAAAGTGTGTTGATTTTGCGAGTAAATGCAATATTGGCATGAAACTTGCAGATGAGGTGAAACTTGCAGAGTAGGTTGCTATAGGGACCCTAATAATCACTGCAAGGTTAGTCTCGATTATGCCTGTTGAATTTTGAGACACATAAGTTTCTATTTCTTTGTTTTGCCCATACCGAGATATCTTTGGAGCACAGTATCAAAAGGAAATTCACTGGACAGGCGCTTGATTATATACGAAAGGTGGAGACAGCCATTTTTATAAATTTCCTTCTGGAACGGCTTTAGTGAAAGTTCAAATTTTCATGTTACCAAACTCGCAAATAAATATAAGAACATTTTATGATTAAAAAAAATCACTCTTTATTGCAGAAGCAGATTGTCGTGCCCTCCTACCACTCTCTGGCACCAAAATAAAAAGGACTGCATGCAAATCAAGCCACTAGTTGAGAAAATATCAACGGCAGGTACAGTAACGGCTCAAGAAATTGTGTTCCTGAGAAAAAGAGTCTGAAAGTTTGAGGCAATCCAATAGTGTCGGAAGGACCGTTGAAAATTGGGCGAGTTGGTTATGCATAGTTACGAAGAGGAAAGCAGTGCCAAAAGTACAGAGGACAAAGCGCTTGGTTTGTGTGTTCCTCATTCTTTATCCTCCATACTTTTGGCGCTGTTCCCTTTTTCCTAACTGTGTCAGAAGGAGCCGGCAGCATAGTCTTGTGTGCCGTGTTGCAGCCTCCTCTTCTGGCGTGTTTCGGTTTTTGGACTGAGGCGTTTGGTGGCCTTATGCAAGCGGAGGGAGTCCTTCTCTGAAGCCCGCCGGAGAGCCAGATGTGTGGGCTGAAGGTTCATGGCACTAGACATCTCTAGGTGTGTCCTAGCGCAGCCAGTGTTAAACCCGACGACTGCCTCGTGCAGCGCAGTACGTACCAACACCTGCGAGGCGTGCTGCTCCTGGCATCAAGGCCCACAATACAGAGTGGAAGCTCTCTGCAGCATTTTGTGTCTTGGCTCCCAAGCAGCACTCAAGAGGTGATGTCTGCGACAGATGCTCATACACAGGCAGCATGGCTTCAGCAACGTAGTCAGAGAGGCTGTACTTGTGTTTGGGTTGTGGCGCTCCCTTTGCCTCATCGACCTTGTTCTGGCACCAGGAGTCTTGTCCTCCTGGACAAAGATCGTGCTTTGGGTCTTCATCCGTCGAAGTCACATGGTAATATGTGGCCATCACAGCACGCTACATGGCTTCCACATCGTTGCTATGACTTCTTATAGCTCATCCATAATACCCAGTGAGCCTCTTGATGAGCACCTTTGTGAGGCGGCCCTTTCCTCCAAGAGGCTCGTCGCTCTTCTGCAAGATCTTCCTCAGAGCAGTTCCCATCCGTTTTTTCACATGGTTGAGGCACTCCTCTTTCTTTATGGGGAGAAACCCGTAGGTCTTGTCTTCAGCTAGTACACAGAAGGTTCTGTTTTCCCCGTCAGATATTAGTGTCATGTAGCGCAAGTCATGTTTCTCTAGAGAGCGCCCAAAAATGGTGAGCACTGCATCAACCTCCATTCTTCCTGAGTTTACGTTGTGTCTGTGTTTTTCTGGCACTCGAGGTTTTGATGCCGCTCAGGGCACCTCTCCTCTATGGGCTTGGGTCCAGTCTGTCGGTCGAGAGACAGATTTGAAAGAACATCCGCATCCAGGATGAAGCCAATGTCATACTCGATCACGCTCCCGACAGCAACATGGGAACTGTAGCCTCTCTTGAGCCATGTGCCGTCATAGACGACAGCAACATCCTAGGTAAAGTTGGGGTTCATTTGTATATGCTTTTTACAGCAACGGCTGGCTCGGTGTAGACTTGGCTGACTCAGCAGTAGCTGCAGCCGACTTACTAACAATGTTTTTCAGGTGCACTTAGTAGGTCTAGTGGTGGAGCCCTCTATGTGACTTGTTCATCACTGGTTCACAAAGGCAAGATGTAAACTAAAAGCTTGCCTCAGAAGCAAATATCCATTACCCCAATAGAAGCTGCCGGCACGGCATTCAATCAAACTTCTGTACTGGAACTTGTACAACTGGGAAATGAACAAAGCTTTTATCATGAAAGTAGTGTCCATGTTTTTTCTTGCGCTTGTCTTTCTTCAATTTATTTTATTTTCGGATAACTAGATGTCTTGTTAGGATAATAAAGAGAGACATAATTACGTGGCAGACAATCACAACCAATCTGAAATCGAAAATGAGTCGGGCGACATCGACCATCAGCATGAAACGGCAGAGGAATTGGACATTTGATGAACAATTACAACGAATTCGGGCAGTGGGGGAGCAAAAATATCTAATTATGGGGAAGATCAGTGCTATGATCATGACCCAAACAAAAAGACAGGCATGGGACGAAATTTACAGAGCCATGGGCTGTTTGTGCACCCCAGACCAGTTACAGCAGTGCTGGAGGAACCTTTTAAAGAAGACCAGACAACTGTACAGCTTATACAAGAAGCATAAACAGCGCACAGGTAAGTTTATTGTGTTCTTAAGTTGTAAAAATATTGCATTGCTTTAGTGATAATATGTGGACAATCAAACCTAGAAACGTGAATGTAAACATTTGTATATTCGTGCACCCTTGCCCTCTGTTGGGAGTCGACTTGTCATCTTCTAAGAGCAGCAGTGAAAGCAGTGTTACAGCATCAGAAGACAATTTATTGCAGTTTATGTACAAGTTCTGCACAGGCTGTATGTAACCCGTAAAACAGTTCTAGTGGAAGACCCAAATCTTTGGACACAAACTAACACACATTTTTAGAGAGAAAAGTGGTCGAGGCCAACCGAGGCCGACAGGCTAAACTGTAAGAAAGTAAAAATTGCATGATAACATAGTCCACAGTTTCAGCAATGTTATCTCGCAGTTACTGAATGTTTAAAATAATGCTTCATGCAGTATTTGTTTATTTTGATTTTCTCATGTAAGGTTCATTTACATACTTGGTTGAACAGTGAACCCCACCTCCTCTGTTTTTACTCGAGTAAGTAGTAGACAAGACGAAATTACTATGCCTTAATTCATAGGTGCTGGGCCAAACCCCCATGTCCTGACGCCCCTCGTCGAAGCCGTCCTCGAGGTGATCGGCGAGGACTCTCCCAACCTGTGCGGGTTGGATGCCACCATAGGTGACACGGGAGGGCAGGTGACTGGTTTCGAGACCCGGTTGTGTGGCGAGTAAGTGGTGCTAAGGAACCAGTCATAGTAAAGCAGGACTGTTGCTCCAGGTGAGGCTCTAAAAGACGAGGACAAATGTTGATAAGAAGATGGGCATGTTGCCATTTGAATAGCATTACTGCCGAGTACTTTTATATTAAAATCAGAGGCCAGATTCCCGAAACTTTCTTACAACAAAAAGTTTGTAAATTTATCTTACAACAAAGTTACAAACTTTTCAGTATTCCCGAAGCAAAATATTCGTATGTTTTGCGTACGTTTCGACGAAATCAGTAATTTGCGCAAAACTTAAAAACATTTTGCTTCGGGAATACTCAAAAGTTTGCAACTTTGTCGTAAGATAAATTTACAAACTTTTTTGTCGTAAGAAATTTTCGGGAATCTGGCTTTAGTTTTATTTGAACCACAAAAGCTCAAAGGCGGCTCAAAATATAGGTCACGAAACCGTCTTCCAGAGTGCACTCCAAGATCTGACGAGGCACAGCGCTACCACATTTCTAATTGTTTTCAACAAGGCTGAAAGAGGACCACTGAAGCTACAAATTTATGAAACAGGACGGCATGCAATGGACAAATCAGGTGGTAAAGCTATTTACCATCTTATAAAAATTAAATGCAACAAAGTGTCAATGGATTTTTTTATGCTAACTGTGGCAGGTTTTCAATATGTATATTAAAAGATTGCACACAGTTCAACCATCCTGTTGCTAGTTTTACCAACTTAAAAAAATTGGTTCAAACACTACCTTCATTCTGGTTGTGAAGTTAACTACCCCCATGATGGTAACATGTGCGAGTAAAATCAATGCCAGTGAAACTATGTGCTGTAATGTTTGAAGTTGTCCTATCAATGTGCACAGTGCAACGTGGTTTGACTGGACATGTGACCACTAATTTTACAAACTGTTATCACATAGCTACACAGCTGCATTCAAACCTTTAGCAGTGAAAGTGTACGAAAACATGCATGTGAATGCTCTTCACAACCAAATGCGCATTTTTCCACACCATGTATTGGGCAATTGTGCAAGAAGTAAGAACACTGTGCTCCAACCTCAATCCTGCACGTCAGTGTATAAACCAACTTAGCTAGCAAACTTTGTCCTCTGCACCAACACATATGAGTGAATTTTGGCGCAGCATGGGCATCTTTATCAGGGTTACAAACTTTGCACAGTGTGTTCTCTTTGCCCATACTGATAAGAACAAACCCTGACCACTTTTTACACATGCATTTGTCGCAGTGACAGCTCCAGGGGAATAGATCCACAGCCTGGTCCCTCTGGGAGCGGAGCAAGTGCGGAAGTGCTGCACGAGAGTCTGTCACAGGAGGTGGTGCAGCAAGCTCTAACAAATGTGCCGTACAGCCGACGTTGGTGCGAGGAGGCTTCACAGCGGTTCCTGCTGGAGACAAGAGAGGCAGCAGCAGCTGGAGGGACCAAACCTCCTGCTGGAGGAGGAGTGCACAGAAAGGGTTATGCAAGCTGCCACGACAACGATCGCAGCAGCAACTGCTGCAGAGGAGTTCTACCGTCAGTCAAAAAAATTACTAGAAGAGCAAAAAAACTTTAACTGGACTGGAAACACAGTGTGCAGAATTGCAAATCAAATTGTTAAAAAACAATTAGGAGAAGAGTAAACATTGACATATTATGCTGTTTTTAATTTTTATTTTGAATGTATTTGTTCACATATGACAAAGCCAACATAGCTGCTGAGAAATAAAATTCATTTTACTTGCAACTGTCAATAGATTATTGGATTCAGATCTGCTATACTTTGTCTCGTCCTACGATGGACTAAAGCCCAATGCTACAGGCCACCGGGTCCAATCACGAGCCTGTTTGAAACCATGTGGTAGATTTGCTTTGGGCCCTAGTTCTTCATCGGGTGAGATGAAATATAACTAAAGCATGTACAGCATATTAAAAATTTTATACATCAACATCGTATCACAGAGGATAATAAGCTGTGAAAGGTAATGTTTTTGATGACTTTACATCATTGGGGGTACCTTGCCAGCACAATGCACTGGTACTGAAAACCATACAAAGCAGCATGTGCAATATATTGGTATACTTATGCTCAACCGAAGAACTGGCTGACGATGGCGTCCCGAGCCTCATTGCTTTCGTCACGGCCTGCTGCCACGGGCTCGACAGGAACCTCTTCGGGGAGGACAGTCTTTGGCATGCTGCAGGGGTATGTCTTGGCCAGGTTGTGCAGGACACAACAGGCGACAGTGATGTCGCAGCATCTCTCTGGCGGCATCCTCAACTCAGCATGGAGGCAATGGAACTTGGCCTTATCTGGCCTATCGTCCTGCACAGTGTATAGAGCAAGATCTGTTATTTTTTTAAGTGGTTTAACAAGAACATCTAATGAGGTCGGCAAGTGATGTCTATCATCGCTCCAGCCCACTGAAAACATGGTATTATGCCTAATATTTTATATTTTTGCTGCAATATTTTAACATAGTAATGATATGCGGATTTTGTAAAAGATATCAGTGATGTGATTGGTCCGAGTCATTTTGGAGCAGCTCTTGGAGCAGTCAAAAGTCAATTTTGGAGCAACAAAAAGAACTTCTATAGCAAAAGCGCACATTCATTTTTATTCATACCAATGCAAACATTATGTCAAGATTAATTTGTCGGCCTGTCCAACTAAAAGGCAATGTCTACATCGCCTTCTCACATACATTCAAACCTTTGTTAGCGTCAACTGCACCAGCAGGAGTTTCTCAAACACAAAACTGTAGTGTTTAGTTGCGTGGAGAAGCATCATGACAGGGTGACAAGAAGGTGTGTGATGAAGGACAGCACAAAGTGCTTTGAATGGTTATCTTAGGTACTGAATGCCACTGAAATAGTACAATAACATTGATCACATAAACTGGTGTTTCCTTCAAGTTCTAGAGATTGTAATAAAACTGCAATTTATAATTCAGATAAAAACAAAGCACTTGTCATTTGATTATCAACATAAATTACATTTTATCTGTAGAACTTCATAGCAAAAACTGCACGTGAACGAAACTTAAAAACAATCCCGCCGAACTCATTCAGGATCTTCCTGAGATTCCATCCACTGCTCCTGTCAATTTAGTTCTAATCTACTCACACTTATAGAAAATTGACAGCTAAACAAATGAGTTGGCATAAATAAATACTAAACATAAAAAAGAGCACATATAAATGTTCTTGCAATACCAAAGTACCCTTGCTAAATCTCGAATTCGAAAAAGGTACCGTCAGGACCTCGCAATCTATCATATATACGAGCCGAAGTAATATTCAGGAATTGTGTTGCGTTTTGCTTTGTAGGAGTGCTTTCCCCTTAACACGGGGCGCGCTGCGGCAAAGCAAGACATGCTAAATCGCGATGCCTATTCCGTGGTGTTTGCTTCTTGCAGTACACCAGTGCTCGGTGAAAAGCACACTCAACGACACTAGCTAACCGTCCAGAATAAACAGACAAGTAGCATGAAAATTATTACGAAACTTCCTGATATTGTCTGTCATTCTAACAAAATGTGATAGAATAGTATGGTATTTGAGACGATAATCAAAAGTTTTGAAAACTTGCGTAAGCATATCGTAATGGTCCGGCCGGGCAGCAAGGCCCGAGCTATTATATTTTCAGTATTATTAAAGTGACATTAAATTTTAGCACTGCGTTGGTGCAAATTCCTCACATTTTGGTTAAATGTAATAAAACATAGCAGGGTAATCACTTTGGGGCAAATGGCGCAGCAATCCCATCACTGATATAATGAAAATATTCTTTCCAAAAACCTGCTAGGAAAATGCAGTTTGAGATAAGCAGTATTTAAGAGGATATGTTTGAATATGTCTGTACTCAAACTTTCCTAAAATCAAGACCTGCCTAAGCCAATGTGTAATTTTTTTTTTTCACATCGTAAGCATTTTTTTTTTTAAGAATTGCTTTATATTTAGGCAATATTGTCACGAAGGAACAGCCAAGGAAACAAAGAATAACTGGGGGGGGGGGGGGGGGGGGGGGGAAGACTGAAACGTTGAATGGGGCGAACTTGTGCCCAAAAATAAAAAAAAAAAGGAAACAAGATAACAGGAGAACGTCGTGGGCGTCGAAGTCGGCATAACAGCTGAGTCGAATGCCGGGGCGAGACTGACTGCAGATTCCCACGCGGGGCCCCTTATGTACACGCGCTGGCTTCTGGAACAATCGACCTGGAAGGATCGGCGACTAGAACATTGATACCTCGGACAAGCAACAGAGTTCTCGAATTCACCAGAACATTAAACTGCAAGAATAAATAAAAGGACGCGTAACTCCCGGGAATTGAACCCTGGCTCTTCTTTTTGGAGGCAAGCACGATAACCGTTAGGCCACGGCCGCGCTGCCTCCTGCGCTCGCAGCAATATGGAGTAACAAAAAAAAATTTAACTGCTATTGTTTGAAAAGTATAAACAGCTAGTAAAAACCTGTAGGTTAATAAACCCAGTCATACAGCACCAACAGGAAAGAATATGTTTCAGAAAAGTTCTAACTTCTGTTCTGGAGTTCAAACAGAAAAGAGCAAATGAAATATAATAATTAATGTGACGTATAGAGTCAACTGGCAAATGGGTGAATTTTGTGAATTGACCTTCTTCATTCCCACAAAGCTGGCTAACCTTAGAATAAACATTACAGGCTATGGCAGTAGCTAGGTAGCCAGTAGTATAAATAGGGTATAGTAGAGATACACCTTCCTTTCCTTGCTTCTGAGCAGCCGTAGCCTACTATGCAAGAACATAAAAATGGCAACAAATGTAAAGTGCAGGCACAACCATATGAAAAAGTTTAGGTGCCTCAAGGTGCTGCAACACTGAACCGTCGAACCAGGACGCATAGCCTGGCTTTACCGTTCCACGATGCTCTTCATTGTGCTATGCGACGCATTGTAGGCGACCTCCGCTGCTGATGACGGAGACAGGAAGGGTGTCATCAGCCATGGCTTGCAGGTGTAGTCGCTATCTCCAAGGAGTAGACCATCGTAAACGCCATCGGCCAGCTTGCCTAACAACGAGCCCTCAGTGAATATTCTGGAGTCGTGGGTTCTTCCAGGCCATTTTGCAACCACATTGTGGATACGGTCAAAGACGTCAACCACTAACTGTACATTTATCGAATGGTACAGATGGCGGTGTACATACACCTCCTCATGCATTCGTGGTGCCTGTATCCGAATGTGAGTGCCATCAACAGCACCCACGTCCGAAGGAAACCCACCGATCTCAAAGGCCTGTTGCAAGGCATGACCCTCAGCTTCACCTGGCCACCTGCATTGTAGATGGATTTGAGTCAGTCTGTAGCACTATGACACTAACAGCGATGGTTTTGTTGTTATTATCACATGCTTAAAAATAACACAGCTATCATTCATCTTCATCAATAGTGAGCCATAAAAACCTTGTCTGCTCAATGACAGTACTCAGTAGCCACAAGACTAGCTCAGTAGCACCTAGTGCACAGTTAAACCAGGCTGTTTATAAATGTCTGCACACCTACTTTATTTGTAGTTTAGTTGCATTTGTACCTGCACCAATAATAGGTACTAAGGGAGCCATTTTGTACACTCCAGTTGGTTTGTGTAATTTTACTGCTCAGTTTACTGGTCTGCATGTCACGGTCATAACCGGGGAACAGATATCGAGTGCTGAAGCAGCACTATTAATATTCCTTTAGGGAGGTACCAGCATACGAGGGATCGACGCGCTGGCAGATATTCAGGCTAGCAAGCCTACAACTTAGGAAACAAAAACTGAAGGGTCATCGCACAGGTGGTGCGCCATAAATAAATTGCAGAATAGGTGTGCTGAGAAGACCACCTTCAACGAATTCGGGTGTTTCAGCAAACACAATTTACGCACCAAAATTTCTATACAAAGGGTTTCTGAAATAATGGTGATTGCTCATCGGCAATCTAGGCCCATGCTTCTTTCTCGGAAAACTGGCTTGCACATGCGCCTAGTATCGGGATGCGCCAGGAGATGCTCCAAACCTCTTACCCTATGAAGTCTCGGGCACGACATGCCAAGGCCAGAGTCACCCGCCTTACAGTCCGCAAAGCAGTGGAGACGTGCACACGGATGTAGTCCCCTGCGCTGATGAGGAAGTTTTCTGTGCCATAGAACTGCAGGGCGACAATGACCTGCTGCTCTGCAGAGAGGGCGCGGCTGCGACGCGTTAGCCGCTCCAAGTCTGGCCGCAGTCTATCGGCAAGGAACGCAATGCCCGCGCGTCCGAATCGGAAGCGCTCCTACAATTCGTCCTTGTCGATCTCCTCCAAAGGGTTCAAGCGGTCACGAAACACACAAGGTTTATGTGTGGATGGTGGCAAAGCTTCCATAGACGCCCATAGGCGCAAAGATGGTGGCTCATGGGGCGCAGCGCTATCTGTGAGGTGCGCGGCATTGTTATTAGTCATGCTCGCCTGTGATGTACAGGAAGTGATGCTTTAATAAAAAGAAACACAATATGACGCAATTTCCTCATGACCCAGCTGGACCTAGCTTGTATCAATTGGAAATTCCAATTGGAATCTAATGGGAATTTTTAACTGGGGATTGTGATGTCACGATTGGTTGTGGCGCAAAATTTAAACGATTTTCGCCAGTGGTGCAAAATTTAAATGATTATTTTCAGATGTTCTACATGCCTGCGCAAGTAATGTCCTTCATACCTTGCTTCATGCGAGCC